TAAAATTCAGCATATTTAGCAAATTCCACAAATTCCGCATTTACCATTTAAATTTGATATTATTCAACAAATTCAGCAACTCAACAGTAATTCAACAAAAATTCAGCGGTTACCATTTACACACATTGTACAAAGTTTACATATTTGAAGAACCAAACATTAGATTTTAGTATCTTGAATCCTTGGTCGAACTCTGCAACCACAAAGACCAGTTACTTAATGATAATTAATTGTGTGTTGTGTATGTGTGTTTTAGCGATGATTGATTACATAAACTGATAGATGGGCTCTATTATGGTTTGATGCCCACTCTATACGTCGGCCTAACGTGGCAAAAGTAGATTTGTTTGAATAAAATATATAAACTTATATATAAAGCAAATAAGCAAACATAATAATACCAAATGAGGAAATCAAACACATTTCTGTTTTTGGGCGTGATGATCTTAGACTCTACGCAACAGTGTTCTTTATTGTTTTGTTTTGAAGAGTGTTGTAATATTTTTATTGGCTTGTAACCAAAATGGGCACCCAAAAAGAAAGCACCACCAATTCTCTATGATAAGGAACACTTTAAAACAATTAAATAATGATCTTTTTATGATATAAAGAGAGTTACACAGATTAATGTAATATATTATTCAAGAGACAAAAACCAAAAAACATACTTCTCTAATCCAAATCATACTATACATCTGATTTACATTTATATAATCCAAATTATCATCTGATTTACATTTATATAATTTTAGATAGTCCTTTATAGCCTTCCCCTTTTTCTATCATTTATGGATAATATCTTTCCTTTCATTTCTTTTATTTTTTAACCCAAATATCTTCTCTAATATGACTTTCTTTTTTTAACCTAAAATGGACATTTTTATATACAAAGTCTTATACTCTTATCTAGAGCTATTGAAGAAAATGAGCCATCCTTATCGTCAACCATTTTGGAAAAGAAAAATCTAGTTTTTCATTTGGTATATACATTGATTTTTTTTCTAAATATTGCAATTGTAAATCTACAAGTCCACATTAGTCATTTTTTTAGTCCA